TGCATGTCATGGTGGAAATAGTCCATTCTATATACATGAGGAAATGACAGAGGCTCATGCTTGCAGTGAAATTATCTCAAATCGCCCCATCAGTCCTGCCTTACCCACCCGCAATCAAACATGAAGTTACTTGAGCTCTAGAATATATGATGTGTAGGCTTGTTCAAAGTGAAATGTACAATAGGACAGGGACATGGATTAAGACATGGTATGAATAGTAGTGATAGCTATTGTTATTGTGTGAGGGTTTTTTACATTTCCAAACTTCAAAATTTGGAGAGAATCGACTTTTTCTTAGCATTAGTTTGATGCGCATCTGGGCAACACCCCGTCAGAAATAGCTTAGGGAACAAAGATCCCAGAAGGGTTTGTGTCTCGGATATACTCTAATATTAGACTTTCCATGCGAACATCAACAATGACAGAACTTGCAAGGGAGTTGGTGATTTTGTGTCCTCAAAATGGAGCAGCAGCAGATTCATTTAAAGACAAATCAGATTCAACGGATTTCAGACAGATCAACACCTATCATGCTGTTTCCAATAAGCCAAACAAATCAATCTATTGCCATCGGCAAAAACCGAGGACAATTCAGACAAAATCCTATGGCGTCTACCTGTTGAAGGAGCAATCTTACTTGGGAGTGGAAAGTGGCGAATGAGCCTTTCACTGAATACTCCTACGGATGGTTTACCCGTTTGTCTAGAATATTCGCCCTCTGGGCGCAGGGCCTATTAAACTATCAAGAGGATTGAGGGCGAGTGCCTACCTTCTGGATGGCTTGTTTCCTGCTAAAGCATGACTCGGGATGCCGCACTCAACACATCTGAGTTTGGGCGAGTTAATAGCTCATCTCATACACCATATATAGCAGGTCTCAGAGATGGACCATCCATTAAATTTAGGAGTTGGGCTTCCTTGACCCTATATCCTGGAGGATTGAGTTCAAATTCTATTCTTGTCAAACTCGCGCCCTACACCCACATGGCCTCATACGGATGTGTGATGTGCGTCGACTCGCTACTTACTATGTGCACGGCTTTCCTCTCCTGAAAAAGTATAGCAACTAGAAGGATAAAGAAAACGAGGCAGTGTGTCCAAACGAGAGCGTTCTGATCTTCTCAGCAGTAGAGTGATAAAATAAAAGCCGAATAACCCTCGGTCCAAGGTTTGTCAACTTTGGCATCAGATTATAACAGGCAGCGCCAACATGAAATTCAAAGATACACCCTTGAAAATCCACCGTAACCTAACCAGGGCCCAAAGCAGTGTCGCCATTCAGCTAAGAAGCCAGCATATTGGACTCAATTCTTACCCGCGCCGAAATAAAGCACCCGGAGCAGAAAAGCCAAGCTGTCAATGTGGATATCCGTCGCAAAACGTCAAGTGCGTGGCGTTGGCGTGTCCGCAGGGGGGCAAATGGAAGAGGCGACTTTCTCCGACACGCTAAAGACAGATCATTTGATGCAAAGATGAACAGCCGAGAAGATGCGGCTGGAATCCCACCGTGGATACTAAGCAGAGGGTGGATAAAACTGTTACGACTTGCCGGGGATGTCGAGGTAGCAGTGTCGGGTAAAATAAATAGATCTGGAAGGGGAGAGGAGGGAATCTACACTGGTTGAACAGCGTACACTGCACTTCCTGAAGGAAAACCCACATAAATTGCTAGGAATATAAAAAGACAGAATCAGTTGCTCTTCACCAAATTGGTTTCCTCTTTTGTAGTAATGCAGATGGTCGCCTGTACGGACCCATAGGGTGGCCGATCGGGTTAATCGAAATCAAAGTCAAATATCATATTAGAATGATGAGTCTCCTGAAAGATGGTATCTGTTAGAATCTGGAATAATTGGGGCTTTCAAGTAGGCCTCGTTGTTGATGCACACGTGACTACTAATCTCGTACTTAGTTTTACATCGGTAGTTACTTGAATCAATGCGCCCTACCTATCGTGATTATGAGCTTATGTTATTTAATGGGCTGAAGCACCTGTTTAGCATTATGCGCAGGGCGTGATAACCTTGTGGTTTGATTGTCATGGATTGAGGACTATGTTGACCTAATGAGGAGATGAATTTTCCAATCTACAAGATTGAGGTGTCCGAGCACTGAATATCGGAGGGCAAGACTGAACACCTGTACGCGGTGTCCTCTACGAACCTGGGAGTGAAATATTCTCCCAGAGCCAAGTTCAGTCAAACTTCGCAATATCAAAGAAGTTGGCCCACGAGGCAAAGATTCAAATTACTCCACCATGTCAATCTTTCACTCCCAAAGAGTCCGATTCTCAACTAAGCTTCATCAATTCTACAAGTACGACCTAGTACATCCTCGTTTCAATGACCACACCTCTCGTCGACTTTCGCTGGCCTCAGCCGGTCACCAAATACACGCCCTTGCCGATATTTATACCCGACGGAGGAAGCAAAGCGTGGAGCACAAATCTGGGAGATAGCTCTTTGGGATGGACGTGAGAGGGATCAGGACAAGTTCACAAGATGATGTAGAAGAGGGATACGTTTTCGAAGGGCGTGAAACTCGGAATTTTGGCAGGAGTTTTACGAATTGAGCTTTGTGCGCGCCAAGACTTCGCTTGCGAGAGTGCAGCTGACACTATAAACACAAGCCAACGATGAAAGGTGTCGTGATCCGCCTCCTGGTGGTGTTCTCTGGTATGGTTTGAGTAGCCTGGGCACCTACTCCACTTGGGAAGGAGACATCTCAGATTACATTTCGCGCGGAGATAAGTTGATGGATGACGGAGGCATGTCTGGATAACTCTGGGTCTTTGGGATGTTCCCCTGAGTGGGTATTCACGGGTGAGGGTTGACTTGGGGTGAAGAAAAAGCCGCCATAACTTCGCAGTGGTACTTGCAAATGAAATCTGAGGCATGAGTGCTCTTCTTGTAAATTGTGTCATCTTTTCTAGACTTATCTTGGATATTGTGTAATAGCTACATAGCTGCATACGCAATTAAAATTTGATGCAACAAAAAAAGAAGTGTTGTGTTATCCATGCAGCCTATCATGGTCTATGCTTTAGGTCACGTCATAGAATACACGCGTGACTGTGGAACTAAACCGCGGGGTATCTACAGTCTCAAATGGGGTGTAATAGTACAATTGTCAAAATGACTGGGGTTAGTTCCCTATACATATTGCCTTAATTGATATGGTCTTCATGCAGGCCCATGTCTAGTTACTCGACTTGTTGTGCAAGCAAGGGGTACTATCCAATGATACTCCATGAAAGTCAAAATTAATGGGGACGGTTTTCAATGCCAAAAGAAAAGTACAACAGTCCTCATTTAGATTTAAAAAATTTAAAAAATCAATTGATATTATCTAAAAATACACATTTATTTCAAAAATAATTGTTCTGCACTACAAAAGTACACATCGAAGCCCTAAGTATGGCTCACAAGTAAAATGAAAACATACTACATATTTTGTATTAGTCTGCTCCATCCTAACACTTTGTATACCCTCCATTTTCCTTTATCACTGCTATTCATCTTTCGTGCATGTTAACCTCACTTAACAGAAGCTTCTTCTGAGTAATGCATATGCTGTAACCTCTTTTTTTGAGTGCATTTGAAAATTTATGCTCATTGCATCCCCAGTGGCTGAAGGATCCCATTGCTAGTTCGAAAGAGCACATCTGTCGATTTTCAGGTGATTCCCGGACGAAAGCCTCATGCTCATCAACTTGTTGCGCGCTTAATTTTGGTGAGGGTCCCTTACGAGGCATAGGATTCTCAGTCTCTCGAGCACACGCAAGTTGCACTTGCCTTCCTGTGAAGCCAAGTTCGTCGGATATATGTTGTAATGTCAAGCCAAGTCTTCTTAATGTTCATATTTCAATACATTGATCGCGAGTTAGATGCTTGCGAACTTTAGTTTCGGAAGCAGACTTTTCGAGAGATATTTTTTGCTAGAATAGAGGATGAATTGATAGTGGTGTGAAGTTTCAGGGACTGTGTAGGTTGGGCAGCCAAAAATGTAGTTGAAAATGCGTTTCTGTAAGCGATTGTCTGAAGAAGATTGGACCATACGTCATGGCGATCGGGGTAATGACGAGAGACAGTCTAACCTATTGCGAGCTAGCCCAACTGCGCCTTCAGGGCTAATTCCTTAAACATCCCATTTTCAAAGTTAACCTTTCTGTTCCTAACGGCATTGTAGTGTGTAATGCATGTGGGGGTGTTATGGACCAAACTAGAACTCAATAGAATAGAGATAATGGAATCAACCAGGGTCTGATGGACTGAGGGAGAACGAGCTGGTCATTTCTCGTAGGAGAGAAATGATATCACAAGGGAATGTTCTAGCACTAGGCTGTGAACAACACAGTAAGTCTGGAGCAAGATAAAGGAGATCTCAACCTTCATTTATCTCTTGTAAGCAAGCTTCCTTTGAGAATATAGGTTCAAGTCTCACTAATCAGGAGAATACACGCGGTGGCAAATAACGAGACCTGCTGTGAGCATAATTTCCCAAAGAGTATCCATCGTCCTGCTCATATATAGCCTACTTAATATAAAAGGTACCCACATGTCTACAGCGCCCAGCTGGCCGGCCTTTTCAAACGCTTCAGAAAAGTCACTATGTCTAAGGATTTGGTCCCAACGTCCGTATTAAGAGAGCCTCGCATCCGTATTGCCATTTTTCCTGGCTGCCATATATCCGCAAAATGCCATCGCTTCGTTGGCTGGAGAGGGGAAATGAGGAAACGCAAGGGGCTCCTCTAATTGTATGATCGAATGAGGACTTGTGAGGGGCGGTACTGTTTGAGGGGAGCTGTGCGGGAGGCACAGGAGGGGATATACTACTGGTATAGGTATCCTTGGCCTGTAGGCAGAGAGGACCTGCATGTCCTACATAGTCATAGTCTCAGAAAGGACAACAAATGAAATAAAAAAAGTTTTGGTATATCATGCAAGTACCACTGCGATAGCCTTGACAAACAAGAAATGAAAACTACTTGCATGCCCTAATCACACCTCTTCAACACATTCGACAGCCTCTCCATCACGAGTAGCTGTTAGCGAAAGGACTTCTCCGTTCCTATTAAATGACACTGTGACTTTGAGCGGTGTACCTCCTGGATTTGAGTATTAGCAGGAGATAACAACTATTTGGCACGATTCCTGCAAACCTTTTCCTGAGGAGGGATAGTCAAAATTCACTTCACCGAGTTGTTCATCTAATGCGTAGCGTCTTTTAAAGTCTATTGACATTGACTCGATTTTTAAGTCAATCTCGCCGATGATCGTTTTTTGACGAATAGTTACACCGCCACACGTATGATCCCTAACAGCGAATACAGATATGGGATTCGTTAAAACAAGCGCAAGCGAAACCAGTGTTCGGGTTTTCATGTTGTGGGTGTTGGTTTTGAAATATTATATCTGTGTATGTAGATTTGGTGGATTAGCTAGATTGATCTTTTGAATTTCGAAAATCGGTCTAATTTGGTTGGGAGAAGAAATCGCAAGAGGAGTGTGAGGCTTGTAATGAGCTGCCTAGCTATTTTTTCGTCCGCTGGGCGCAGAGCCTATTAAACTATTATCGAGAGGGATGAGGGCGAGTACTTAATTTCCTGGTGGATGAGTTCCTGCTACTGCATGACGCGAGATGCTGGACTCTGTCAATCTGAGTCGAGGATAATTAATGGCTAATCTCACACACCATATTTACCAAGCCGCATAAATGGGCCATCCATATATCTCTTGGAGTTGCGCTTCCTGGACTTTGCATCCTGAAGGATTGGATTTAAAATTTACTCGCATCAGCCTGGCAACCTGCACCCACATGACCTCATATGGGGGGGACAAGACGGAACACCTGTGCGCGGTGTCCTCTACGACCCTGCGAGTGAAATATTTTTCCAGAGCAAAGTTCAGTCAAATTTCGCAATATGAAAGAAGTTGGCCCACGAGGCAAAATTTCAAATTGCTCCACCACGTCGCTTTTTCGCTCCCAACGAGTTTGACTTCTACCAAAGTCTCATCAAATCTACAAGTACGACCAATTACATCCTCATCTCAATGACCATACCTCTCTTCGATCTTCTCTGGACTCAGTTGACCACCAAATACACGCCCACGCTGAAATTTATACCTGACGGAGGAAGCAAAGCGTGGAGCACAGATCTGGGACACTGTTCTTTGGGATTTGCCTAAGAGGATTCAGGACAAGTTCACAAGATGATGCAGAGGATGGATTCAGTCTCGACGGGCTTGGAACTTTGAATTTGGGCAAGGAGTTTTTACAAATTGAGCTTTGTGCGTGCTAAGGCTTCGCTTGTGAGAGTGCAGGTGACACTATCAACACCGCCATGGTTGGACGGTGTGGTGGTATATCGTCTTGGTCGGTCTACCAAGTAAGGTCTGGATAGCTTGGACACATATCCCACTCGATACAATAGATTGCTGGTTCAAATCTAGCAAAACACAACCACATTTCTCGCGGCGCTGGTATGCATGGATGACGAAGGCATGCTTGGATAACCAAAGGTTTTGAAACGTCCCATTGGTGCGTACTTACGGAGGAGTGTCGACTATTTGTGTAGGCGTACATACCTCATAGTGGTATTTGCGAACGAAATCCAGAGTATGAATGTCTTTAATGTCAAAAGAGTCAGCCATCATGTCTACATAGCACCGGTCATGTGTCACATCTAGATAGCTGAATACGCATGAAATCATTTAAAAAAACCCCCTGCACCCACATGACCTCATGTGAGTGTGTGAGGCGCGCCGACTCGCTACTACCTACGTGCAGGGCTTTACTTTCCAGAAAAAGTACAGGAAATAGATGGACAAAGAAAACGAAGCAATGTGTCCAAACGAGAGCGTCCCATGCTTCTTAGAAATTAAGTAATATATTAAAATCCAATACCCCCCGGACCCAAGTTTTGTCAACTTTGACGTTTTGTCAAGGTGATGTGTATCCCGATAGATGATGTGGAGGAATTGTCAAAGAATGGATTGAATGCAGCAATTGTAGGGCCACGTGCCATCACGCGTCCGATACGTGTATGTGTGTATGTATAAACTTCGTATCAGGCAAAAGCCCTACACCCAAGAGGCATGATACGGGTGTATGATCCCTAAAGACTCACTACTACCTATCTGTACAGCTTTCTAGGCCGATTGATTACATGAGAAGAAGAAATAAAGAAAATTGCCCAGACAAAAAAATGCCCTGCGCCTTGCCTACTTTCATATTCAACTGCTAAAGATATTTCAGTCCCTCGGAAAGGTTTAGCCCTCTTGGTATGAAAATTTCCCTGCGTAGCATCTCGTTACGGTCATGTACTTATAGAGTTCCTCCCATCCGACTTCTGTCAACATGACTTGACTTCTTGGTGGTGGTTCATGTCTGGATATTCTCCATTGTCGCAAGGCCGTTCGGCACTCTGCAAAGTGCCAAGGACATCTTTCACTTCTACAGACGCATCTACAGTCTATATTTTAATGCCCAAAGCTGTCATAGTAACGCTTGAAGTCTCCGTGTCCAGTCCTCGCCGCTATCAGACGATGGTATGCCCATCTCGGTAATCCAAGCTCGAGTGGTCGTTTACGTGCCATGAGAAGGTCTAATTCTTCGTACCGTCTTGGTCTATTTTGAAGCCACAAGAATTCCACAGCTTCCTCGGCCTGCTCTCAGACGAGCTGGTTCAGCGCTGCAAAGGTGTATATCTGCTCACCCCTTAAATCTAAGAGGTCTCTCGGGGCTGCCTTGGCCAAATTGTCCGCCTGCTCGTTCCCGGTAATCCCAGAATGGTCAGGTATCCAGCGGGCTTTGACTGATAGAAACTGGCCTATCTAAGTCGTAAATTTGTCAACCACAAACTGAGACGATCTTGTTCTGCCGCTTGGTAGAGCTCGCACGGTATTAGGGTTGTTCAGAAGTAGCTTTACTGGGCCTCCGGTTGCCTTATTTATGGCTTCTTCCATTGCTTTCTGGGCTTCTGACAGCTCTGCGTCGTAAACCTCTGCTCCAGGCATGGGACCTGATCCTACCTCTATCATTTGGCCTGCTCTGTATAAGGTGTATCCCCAAGCAGATTTGGCGGGGCCGCATGAAGATCCGTCCGAATAGGTACACACTGTCTCCGTTGACAGACTAGGTATCCATTGATTGGCATGATCTGCTTCCGCTTTCTTGTCGCTTCCAGTGGATTCACTTGTGAGTTCACCTCTTGGGTGAAAAAATTTACCCGGACCTTCGGCTGTCGGCACGATCTTAGAGCTTATTTGGAGCCTCTTGAGGTAAAGATCTGGCACAGAGATCACTCGGTTTCTTTGGCCTGTTCGCAGGCCTAGACGACTTATCGTTTCCTTGGGTCCCTCTCTAGATCTGAATACTAGCTGGTGCCAGGCGTCGAGTCGTTGTATCCGTGCAGTGGCCTGGATTTGCCTTTTCTATTGCTGAAACTTTGCTGGAGGGATGCCTGACTCTCGATACCGAGCCATATTTGGCGTGGTGCGCCATGCTGGTAGCGCTGCTCGAACTGCTCTTAGAATTGTGCTGTCCAGTAGATTGATATGCCAGCCAGCCCCGGTACCCACTTTCTTGTTACGCTTAGTAGTGTCAGGGGATGGAGTGGATTGCGGTACCGTATAGTCACGTGCTATCGCGCGTCTGATGCGCGATTCACGATGTATATATATTTATAAGACTCAATAGTAATCGCCTTTTGTTGTGGTTATGAGCTGTGAGGTATATAGCAATTATGTCTCTGCTGTCCGTCGGTGGAATTACACGGGCTCATGTGCAATGGTGAGTCGCGGAGATGGCGCGCTCACGCTGGGTGATGGCACGATGGACACTGAGTGCGTATCACTGTGGCCAAATGGGTGTCAGTAGGTATCAAATGTGAACTCTTACTGACAATGGTGATCTATGAAGGTGATGCTAGATGTGCATCCCGATGATTGATAATATCATCTGATGGATGATGTGAAGTATGATATTATTTAGATAGATTGATTCACTAAACTCGGCAGGTGAAGATATTGTAGAGTACATGAACAGCGTCTGTGCACCAGCCTGTATTTTCCACCCTTTCCTAATCCAGCAGCCCATCCTCCGTTCCCCTGTCTCCTAACAACTCAACCGAGCCAGCACAACACCTTTCCTCTTTGTAGACAATCTCAATCACCAGATTAGACCTCGTTAATCTATCCTATGAACTTTACCCTAACATAGTGATCCTGATCAGCCCTGGCCACCATGCCTCTGCTCCGTGTAGTGCCGTGCTTGGCGTCCGATACGTCGTTCATGATGAATTTATTTTAAAATAATTTATCTTACCTTCGTTGCAACTCTGTACCAGATTTGGCTGATTGATAGTCGCTTGATTTAAAAAGAATCTGTACCAAATGTGGGAATAGAGATTGATAGTGTTCGGAGTACCGTCGCATCTGCTTAGGTAAACAGCATGGATTTGATTAGTAAGACTCAAATATGTATTACTAGCTTTCGTTGGATAGAAAAGAGAAGCAAGTTATTTTATATATATTTTTACCGTTCCCTAAGTTAAGTCACAGTAATAGAATTGGAGGTCAATCACGGACTCGAAGCTGCTTTGTAAAGATTGACTTTGAGGGTATTTGAACGTAGAGATTTCGGACTGAAACAGGCTTTGCAAGCACGCCAAAGCCTCTCTATTTTGCTCAATATTTTATATATAAAAGAATTCGTGATCATGTCGCTATCCACCAAATCCAACTGTCGGCGGAATATTGGAGATTAGTTGATCCGTTGGCTCACGTAAGCTGGACGTGCATGCCTACTATTAGTTAGATGTTGGCTTGGCCAACTAGAATAGAGTTACTAAGAATTTATATACATCCAGTTGTCTTTGCATCTACTCGTCAGGTACGTGATACATAACCCATCCAACAGTTCAGCCATTTGGCCATGACACATGACCGGTGCTATGTATACGTGATAGATGTCTCTTTTGACGTTAGAGACACTCTTACTCTGGATTTCATTTGCAAATACCAATATGAGATATGTTCGCTTACACAAATAGTCGAGCCTCCTCCGTAAGTATCCACCAAAGGGAATTTCAAAACCTTTGATTATGCAAGCATTCTTTCGTCATCCATATAAACTTGCGAGTGAGATGTGTGCGCCTCGCTTTGTTTCTGTTAACACATGGGACAACGAGGTAGTCGAGGCTAGCGCATCCCGTGTGGCTCAAGACTACAGCATACATCACTAGTGTATTTATTTTTATTTATTTTTTATGTCTACCGCATCACCAGTGTGCTGGCTAGCCAAGCATGTATACAGGTTCATAGGTGTTGTGATATCGCTCGTCAATGACCGGCTCGGCACGGATAGGTGCATAAGCACGTCGTCCGCTGACCATGAATACAACTGCTGTCGCTCCTGAGTCTCGGACTTGGAAGCGCCGGGACGAGTCATTGCAGGGCAACGATTGGGGTGGCGACGTGAAGAGTCTCCTGAATACGTGCGCTAGCCATAAGCGGTTAGATATTGCCGGAAAATTACGGGATAGCGCTCAGAGGTATATGCAGACCTCGCTCGCCACCGGAACTATACAACTGTTTCTGCTCCTGAGTAATGGACTAAAGACTGCGGAACTGAGACATTGTATGGAAACGATTGGAGCGGTGCTGTGGTGTGTAAACAAACGACAGGCGCGAACCATGGACTGGATTGTTGTCGTTCCTGAACGGCTAGGTTCAGGATCGCTCAGCTGGGATATACAGGTAAGTGATTGAGGCATTGCAGCGACGCGTAATCGGACCGCGCGCGCCAGCTACCGGAACAGCGGATGCCTCTCATGAGAGATAGACTCATGAGCTGCAGAGTTTTACCTAGGCACGCTGTTGGCAGTAAGTCAGGAGAGAGAAGGTAGACAATGACACGGATAATATTTGAGTATATAAGTAGTGTATGTTCTGGCCCATGAACAGTATCGGAATAGCAACGGACAACCTGCCAGTAATCATCTTACCAAATATCAAACCATCTTTGAACAAACGTCGTGACACATGCTAAGCAACTATGTTCCCATTTAACTCATAACCTTAACAATAGGTGTACCTGTTGGAATGTATGTCTTTCACTAGGCGCTTAGTGCAGTGCATCTCTCTGTTGCTGAGTCATTGTCTTGATGACTCAGCCAACACCGCGAACTGGACGTTCGCAGTGTTCAAAGATAGAAACAATAACAACAAGAATCCTTACCTCACTTTCATACCTTCCGTTTTGCATTGAACTAACCTTCCGTATACGTAAAATGAGGCCAATCGACAGTACCCATAATAGATGGACACAAGTTTAGACTTTTAAAAAATCAAGGAATGCGATTTTCCTGCTTCGGCGCCTTGAGGCCCATGCCGGTGTCATCAGATCATATGTACTCTAAGTAGAATGACTGAATCTGACGTTTTGAACACTCAAACTTCATTTGCAGATATCACTCGAGGTTAATCCTTAAGGCTTACAATTTCTTGCGTGCATACCGACCCCTGGGAGGAGCATGAAAAACCTGTGGTTATCTGAGTGTGCTTTCATCATCTCACAAATGCAATGTCAGCGCGAGAGAGGATGGATTGTGGAGTTTACCGGATTCTTATCAGCTTCCTTCTCTCACGAGCGGGATATGTGTTCAAGTTGCCTTTATCTACTTGGGAGGACGGCGCGAATGATGTATCACTACACCATCCAACCCTTTAGCCTTAAACTTTCTGTCCATGTCACAGTCTAAGCATAGGCACTTGAGCAACCTGATGATCAGAGGTAGTTTATTTTCAATCTATGGTGAACTATAGATCGAAGAGGATAATAATAGCTACTTTATACATGGTTATTATCCCAGCCAATGACACGGCTTTCGATCCGTTTACCCGTATATCCGCATATCCATTCTCGGAAGTTGTACAATATTGATATTGCCAATTGTAAGCCCCTACTTCCGAGAATAGGCTCCGCCTAGTGTCACGTTAAGCCTACGTTGGACAGCGTAGGCTTCAGGCAATTATCGGCTCACAAGCCGTTACAGTCCATACACCTACAGCTTGATATTCTATAAGTCTATTTACTGTCACCAACTAAATATAACATCATCCACTCCTCATCACTTCGCAATATAACTCCCGCATAGCTCATGACCATGACAAAAGCTCGTTAGGCGCAGGGCGTCGAGTGAGGGTAGCAAAACTTTTCTTAATATTTTTAGGCTTTCATGTAGATTTCTGGCTATATCAGGCTGGCTTCAATGGTAGTTCTGGGTCATTTGGGACTTGCACGCCTGTCAAGCCTCCTAGGTATAGGGCATTAGCCTGATACGTTGAATTACTCAAATCAAATAAATATCCAACACCCCTCCACAAGACTCATGAAGCTTCGAGCAGATCTAGGCTCAACTCATTCAAATCTATTATTAAATGACAGATTAAGATTGCAGACACGATGACCCGACTACCAGTTGTAAGTCATCTCAGCCACATGCATTTCGAAAATTTTTAAGAAATAGTTTGTTGCCATTAAAATGGAGCTGGATTAAAATGGACAATGATACCGGCGTTTGTCGGAGAGGACGTCATGATTTATCTTGAGGATGGTATGAAATGAGGAAACGAGGTCATACTCTGGCTAATAAATAGGTGCCTTTCATTGACTTCTCGGCTCATTACTTTAAAATCTTCATTTGTATCTAGCTCGGAGGACAGATTGAATAAAACACCACCTTAAGACCCTCACACTTTCCCGGGCGTGCGAGAGAAGCGTTTTGACCGAGCTCGCCGTTTGAGATTCTGGACTGTGGAATAAAATCAGGATGGAGACCGAGATGACTTTTGAGAAAATTTTCAAATTACAAGACGAGAAGCTTCAGTACAGATGCAGTCTCAGAGCTCCCTTGAGCACATGGGAGCAGCTACCATAGCCAGTGATATCGCAGCTGTAGGAATACTCTCGCATACAGTACCCTAATCTGCTTGGAGTAAACTTAACCCTGAAACTGATCAGGAATGAGCTTTGGATTAGTCATGAATTAGCCATAGAAGGAAAGGTGGTCAGAGCTGAGATGGAAAACTATTCTGGTGAGCAGTTCCTTTGGGAGAGATGTCAGTGGATAGAGGTAGTTGCGATATATATACTTAGTATTATAATATATTTGTTAATTCGCCCCAAAGAAAATCTACAGTAGCTGTCGCTCTAAGATTGTGGAACAACGCCAGCCTATAGTCGTATCATAGCAACTGATTAGTATCTTGGGCGATAACTGTTGCTAATGCGACAATTTAACTATCACAACGCATTAACTGTGATATTGAGCACACCCATAACGCGGCTGGCCAGGCGCAACACAACATTACACGATTAGTTGGTGAGACTCGCAGGCTGTATGTTGCTGGAAACCCCGGATCCCATCTAAGCAGGAGCTGGAGAGCTTTCGAGGACTTGATGGATTGCTAGCGAGACTACAAGGGAGCTGAAGACCAATTCCAAAGATGTAGAACTTTGAATTTAGTATCAACTGACATGCCATCAAACAACTAGGAACACTCTGTAGGTTTCGTAAAAAGGCCAGGCTTCTGCTGAAGTTCTGAGCTTGAGCGACGACGGAGGTAAGAGCGGAATCAGTGTTGGTGGTTAGACTGATACAATAAGTATTATATGAGGTTGTCGATGGAAGATTTGAGTGGAAATAATTGGATGGAGATGTATGGTTCCGAGTAAAGTGAGATTGCGTGTGGGCGTATCTGATCAACTGTGGTTTTTGACCAGTATGCAATCAATAGATGTATCAGCCAGGAATATGAAGTTAAATACATGTGTGTCGGTCCTGGGTTCGAGAAGCCTAATAGCTGCATTTGAGACAGAGCCGTCCGCTGGAATAGTAGTGTGAAATAAATGCTAATGCGCATTAAACTTTCGCTGAGGCATGTATTAATGCCAATAATACAGGATGAGGAATTTGATAGTCTAATCAGCCAGACTGACAAACAAGTTACTCTTGACATTCCGACATATATCATATTTCACCAGCTCCCACTCCATTTCAACACGGTGAATCCATTAGCAACTGCACCGAATAGAGTCGTGGAATGGTCTACTTTGGTGTGTCTTCACACATATACATTTTGTAATAGTTGATGCTCACAGAGCCATGTGATCTTTGACACCATAGCTGGCCAAAAATAGTGCCCAATTCAATCAGGTTATAACAGTGCATTATTGAATAGAATAACTCTTGTAGTATCATGCAAACACCACTATGATAGCCGTGACAGACAAGAAATCATTAGCACTTGCATGCACTCATAACCCCCCTCTCTTCTCTACACAACTAAAAACCACTCCATTACGAGTAGCTGATATCGTTTTGATTTCTCCTCTCATATTAAATGTTATGGAAACTCTGAGCGGTGACCCTTCTGGATTAATGTATTAGTAGGGGATAATAACTATTTGGCATGATTCCTGCAAACCTCGTATTGGGGGAGTATACATAAATACTGCTTGACCACGTGTATCATCCATTAAGTATTGTTTACCCTTTAATATTGGCTGTTTTTCGCTCGCATCTTTAATCTCCTGAATGATAGTGCTCTTAGGAATAGTCACACCGTCACAAATTTGACTTTGAACAGCAAATACAGGCATCAAATGGCCTAAAACAAGCGCAAGCGAGAACAAGCTTAGGCTTTTCATGCTGTAGATATCACCTGTGGAATTTTATATCTGGATAGGTGTATTTGGTGGATTAGCTTGATTGATACTTTGAATCTCGATGAGGCGGGTTTAATCTAGGCAAGAGATCGCAAGAGTAGTGTGAGAGATGTAGCTACCTGTTTATGCTAAAAGCTACCTTGAAGATTGCTATCTTAATGTGCATGTCATGGTGGAAATAGTCCATTCTATATACATGAGGAAATGACAGAGGCTCATGTTTGCAGTGAAATTATCTCAAATCGCCCCATCAGTCCTGCCTTACCCACCCGCAATCAAACATGAAGTTACTTGAGCTCTAGAATATGATGTGTAGGCCTTGTTCAAAGCGAAATGTACAATAGGACAGGGACATGGATCAAGACATGGTATGAATGGTAGTGATAGCTATTGCTATCGTGTCCGGTTTTTTTATATTTCCAAACTTCAAAATTTGGAGAGAATCGACTTTTTTCTTAGTATTAGTTTGATGCGCATCTGGGCAACACCCCGTCAGAGTTAGCTTAGGGAACAAAGGTCCCAGAGGGGTTTGTGTCTCGGATATACTCTAATATTAGACTTTCCATGCGAACATCAACAATGACAGAACTTGCAAGGGAGTTGGGGATTTTGTGTCCTCCAATGGAGCAGCAGCAGATTCATTCAAAGACAAATCAGATTCAACGGATCTCAGACAAATCAACTCTTATCATGCTGTTTCCAGTTATCCAATCAAATCAATTTATTGCTATTAGCAAAGGCCAAGGACGAGTTAGACAAATCCTACGGCATCTACATGTCAAAGGAAAAATCTTACTCGTGGCTGGAGAGTGTGGAATGAGCCAGACACTGAACACCCCGACGGATGGTTCACCCGTTTGTCTGGAATATTCGTCCTTTGGGCGCAGTGCCTATTAAACTATGATCGAGAGGGATGAGGGCGAGTGCTTACCTTCCTCGTGGATGAGTCTCTGCTACTGCATGACGCGGGATGCCGCACTCTACACGTCTGAGTTTGGGATAATTTAGGGCTAATTTCTCACTCCATACATGGCGGGCCTCAGAAATGGACCATCCATTAAAATTTTGTAGCTGGGCTTCCTTGACCCCGCATCCTGAAGGATTGGATATAAATTCTATTCGTATCATCCTCGCACCCTACACCCAAATGGACTCATACGGGTGTGTGCTGCGCGCTGACTCACTACTACCTTAGTGCATGACTTTACTTTCCAGAAAAACTTTATTGAATATAAGGATAAGGAAAGCAATACAGCGTGTCTAAACGAGAGCGTTCTGTTCATCTCGGCCATTGAGTAATGAAGTACTACCCTACATGCCTCGGCCCAAGGCTTTTCAATTATAACATCGTATTTAAGTGATGAGTATCCTGAAAGATGGTGTCGAGGTATTGTCAAAGGATGGAATGAGTGTAGAAATTACAGGGTCACCTGCCATCACGCGTCCGACACGCGATTCATGATGAATTTATTTTAGATTACTGAATCTTACTTTTTATTTCAACTCTCTTCCAGATTTGGTTGAAGTTTATTATTATCAATTGTTAGAACATTGAATCATTGGGGCTATCAAGTAGGCCACGTTGTCCATATACACGTGACTAGAAATTCTGTACTTAATTTCACTTCGGTAGCCGCTTGAATCAACGGACTCTACGACCTCAATGACTGAGGGGTCAGAGGGCAAGACTAAACACCTGTACGCGGTATCCTCTACGAACCAGGGACTAAAATATTCTCCCAGAGCCAGGTTCAGTCAACTTTCGCAATACCGAACAAGATGGCCCACGAGGCAATGATTCAAATTACTCAAACACGTCAATTTTTCACTCCCAACAATATCGACTCCTGCCAAAGTCTCATCAGGTCTACAAGTGCGACCCGGTACATCCTCGTCTCAACCACTACACCTCTCGTCGACTTTCTCTGGCCTCAGCTAGTCATCAAATAGACGCCCACGCCGATATCTATACTCACAGGAGGTAGCAAAGTGTGGCGCACAAATCTGGGAGACAGTTCTTTGGGATGGATGTCAGAGGGGTCAGGACAAGTTGATAAGATGATGCAGAGGATGGATACATTCTTGATGGGCGTGAAATTTCGAATTTTGGCAAGAGTTTTACGAATTGAGCTATGTGGGCGCCAAGACTTCGCTTGCGAGAGTGCAGCTGACACTATAAAAACAAGCCAACGACGGAAGATGCCGTGGTCCGCCTCGTAGTGGTGTTCTCTGATTTGGTTTGAGTAGCCTCGGCACCTACTCCACTTGGGAAGGAGACGCCTCAGACCATATTTCGCGCGGAGAAAAATCAGTGGATGATGGAGGCATGTCTGGATAGCTCAGGGTTTTGAGACGCTCCCCTGGGTGGGTATTGACGGATGAGGGTTGACTTGGGATGAAGAAAAAGCCGCCATAACTTCGCCGTGGCATTTGCAAATGAAATCCGAGGCATGGGTGCTCTTCCTATGAATTGAGTAATCTCCTCTGTACTTTTCTTTGATATTGTTCATAGTTAGATAGCTACATATGCAATAAAAATTTGATTCAAAAAAAAAAGAATTTGTAGGACATACAGGCCAAGGATACCTATACCAGTAGTATATCCCCTCCTATGCCTTCCAAATAGCTCCCCTCAAACAGCACCGCCCCTCACAAGTTCTCATTCGATTTTACACTTACAGGAGCCCTTAGCCCTTCATTACCTTCCCTCTCCAGCCAACGAAACGATGGCCATTTGCGGGTGTATGGCGGCCGGGTAAAATCGCAAAAACCACTGGTTACGGAACTCTCTTAATACGGACATTAGGACTAGATCCGAAGACATAGTGACCCTTCTGAAGCGTTCGAAGTGGCCGGCCAGCTGGGAGCTGCAGAATGAAGCTGGATTAAAATAGACGGAGATGCCGGCGCTCGTCGGAGGGGACGTCATGACCTATTTTGAGGATGGTATGAAATGAGGGAACGAGGTCATATTCTTGCTGATAAATATGTACCTTTCAATCACTTCTCTCCTCGTGATATTAAAATATTCATTTATATCTAGCCCCGAGTACAGTTTGATTAAAAGGCCACCTCAAGACCCTCCTACTTTCCCAGGCGTGCGAGAGAAGCGTTTTGACCGAGCTCGCCGTTAGGGATCTTGGACTGTGGAATAAGATCAGTGTCAGGCTCAGGTTCACTAGGCGCAGGACTCGAGGCGTAGGAGAGGGCGTAGCGTAGGATGTACTGAGGAAGGACGCCTCGTGGGAACACGGAGGGGTTTCTAGAGAAGTGGTAAAGAGGAACGCGGGGAGTCGTTCTAGATAAAGGGGCCGGAGGTGACAGTAGGTCACTATGTTTGGCAGAGGACGAGAGTGAGATGTGATTAGAATAATGTAACTATTCCTAAAGACAGAAAACAAAGCGTGAAGATACCAGTCTCGGAAATGGAAACTACATAGGTGCCCTCGCTAAGCAATAAAGACTAGTGGGATTAAACAAGGAACCCATAAATCCTGCCTGAGGCATTTATCAAGAATCCTTACAATCAGGACAGAATGCAGGTTGACTTTCAAGAAACTTGCCAATTACAAGACAAGAAGCTTCAGTACAGATGCAGTCTCAGAGCTACCATAACCAATGATGCCGTAGCCTACACTCCTATCACAGCCACTGATAAGTATCTTCGGCGGTAACTGTTGATATTGCAACACTTTAACTATCACCACGCATTAGCTGTGATATTGAGTACACCCATAACGTGGCTAGCCAATAGCTATACAACATTACAGGATTAGGGTCGGTTTATCACCGGTTCTAGTTAATGTGCTAGCACAAAGATTGGGTAAAATGGTTATTGATCAAAACGTATATTGATATCTATATATCTTGAATAATGAACGGAGGTAACCCCTGTTAAAGTTATGAGCTTGAGCGAAGATGGAGGTTGTAGCGGAATCAGTGTCGGCAGTTAGAACGATGCAGTAAGTCTCGTATGAGGCTGTGAGAGGAAGATCCGAGTGGAAACAATTGTATTTAGATGTATGATTCAGAGTAAAACCGAGATGATAGGAGTGAGATTGCGTGTTCGCATATCTTATCAACTGTGGTTTTTGACCAGTATTTATCAATACATATATGGGTCAGGAATATAAAGTAATAAGTTATTCTTGGCATTCCAAGATATATCATATTTTATTAAAATATGATTCCTCTGGACGGGTAATACAGTAGTACTGTTACTGGAATATTTGGAAGTAGATTTGATAGAGTATAGGGTTAAATCGTTGCGTGTGTCTTCGTCTCTACGTCTACGCGCTTAATAGAAGTATCGCGATCTCGCACCCACTAATCTATCGCTCCTAGTCTCATCCACACGCTAATATGAAACTACTAATACAGGGTATATAAAATCAACACACGCCTTACCCTTTTAAACTCCTAGGCAACCAATAACCACAACCCTAACTCCATTATGTTAAATTGTAGGGAAGATTATGTCTGGCCAACCCTTCTTATAATTTAACATATTTCAACAACCCCCAACGCTGCACTAACACCACGTGACTAATATCCGTAAATTTCCCCACAGCCACTCTACCGATGCCAATATTCACACTATTAGTTCGTGACACCCACAGGCTGTAACCTACTGAGAATCCCAGCTCTCATCTAACCAGGAGCTGGAGATCTTTCTAGGACTTCATGGATTGCCAGCGAGACTTCAAGGTAACTGGAGACCAACTCAAAAGATGTAGAACTTTGAATTAAGTCTTGACTGACACGCCGTCAAACATCTGAGAACACTCGGTAGATTACGTAGACAAGCCAGGATCCAACTCTATCTCAATACCTTGCATCCATCAACAGCAGGATAGAATATAATCGCGGAACGATCTCTTTTGATGTGTCATCATAGATATAGAATTTATAATAGTTGAAGCCCACAGAGCTATGTGATCCTTGACAACACAGCTGGCAAAAAGTGCCCAATTCAATCAGTATACAATAGCACATTATGGAATAGAAATAACTCTTGGTGTATCATGCGAGCACCACTATCATAGCCGTGACAAACAAGGAATCAAAACTTTTTTGCATGTACTCGTCACGCATCTCAAGCTTCATTACACGTAACATCGACTTCCTTATGAGTAGCTGTGAGCGACAAGATTTCTCCTCTCAAATCATATGACAGCGTAACTTTGAGCGTTTTACCTATCGAATTTAATTGTCAGTAGAAGATGACTCCTTTAAAGAATGATTCATGCAGACCTATGGTATTTGGACTGTTAAGTAGAAAGGTCGTGCTATCACGTTCTTCATTTACTTTATATTTTATTCTGGGTGCAAGTCCCAGATTTCCTATTGACTCTTCAATCTTACTTGTCAATATTCTTTCAGGAATTTCGTCGCCGTCACAAATATATTTTCTAACAGCAAATACAGGCATCAAATAGCCTAGAACAAGCGCAAGCGAAAACAAGCTTAGGCTTTTCATGCTGTAGATATCACCTGTGGAATTTTATATCTGGATAGGTGTATTTGGTGGATTAGCTTGATTGATACTTTGAATCTCGATGAGGCGGGTTTAATCTAGGCAAGAGATCGCAAGAGTAGTGTGAGAGATGTAGCTACCTGTTTATGCTAAAAGCTACCTTGAAGATTGCTATCTTAATGTGCATGTCATGGTGGAAATAGTCCATTCTATATACATGAGGAAATGACAGAGGCTCATGCTTGCAGTGAAATTATCTCAAATCGCCCCATCAGTCCTGCCTTACCCACCCGCAATCAAACATGAAGTTACTTGAGCTCTAGAATATGATGTGTAGGCCTTGTTCAAAGCGAAATGTACAATAGGACAGGGACATGGATCAAGACATGGTATGAATGGTAGTGATAGCTATTGCTATCGTGTCCGGTTTTTTTATATTTCCAAACTTCAAAATTTGGAGAGAATCGACTTTTTTCTTAGTATTAGTTTGATGCGCATCTGGGCAACACCCCGTCAGAGTTAGCTTAGGGAACAAAGGTCCCAGAGGGGTTTGTGTCTCGGATATACTCTAATATTAGACTTTCCATGCGAACATCAACAATGACAGAACTTGCAAGGGAGTTGGGGATTTTGTGTCCTCCAATGGAGCAGCAGCAGATTCATTCAAAGACAAATCAGATTCAACGGATCTCAGACAAATCAACTCTTATCATGCTGTTTCCAGTTATCCAATCAAATCAATTTATTGCTATTAGCAAAGGCCAAGGACGAGTTAGACAAATCCTACGGCATCTACATGTCAAAGGAAAAATCTTACTCGTGGCTGGAGAGTGTGGAATGAGCCAGACACTGAACACCCCGACGGATGGTTCACCCGTTTGTCTGGAATATTCGTCCTTTGGGCGCAGTGCCTATTAAACTATGATCGAGAGGGATGAGGGCGAGTGCTTACCTTCCTCGTGGATGAGTCTCTGCTACTGCATGACGCGGGATGCCGCACTCTACACGTCTGAGTCTGGGATTATTTAGGGCTAATTTCTCACTCCATACATGGCGGGCCTCAGAAATGGACCATCCATTAAAATTTTGGAGTTGGGCTTCCTGGACCCCGCATCCTGAAGGATTGGATTTTAGTTATATTCGTATCAGCCTCGCGCCCTACACCCACATGGCCTTGTACGGGTGGATGATACGTGCCAACTCACTAATACTTACGTGCATGGCTTTGGTTTCCAGAAAAGCTTTAGGAAATGGAAGGATGAAGAAAACGAAGCAGTGCGTCCAAACGAGAGCGTTCTGTTCTTCTTAGTCCTTGAGTAATAAATTACTACACTACACCCCTCGGCCCGAGGTTAGTCAACTATGACATTTTCTTAAGGTGATGAGTATCCTGAAAGATGGTGTCGAGGTATTTTAAAGGATGGAATGAGTGTAGAAATTATAGGGTCACTTGCCATCACGCGTGCGACTCGCGATTCATGGTGCGTTTATTCTGTATTAATTAATCTTACTTTTCATTTCAACACTCTGCCGGGTCTGGTTGATTGATTGTCCCTCGACTCAAAAATAGATTGCACAAATTGTGGGAGTATATGTCAATTTATTGCGGCGCAAAAGTAACAGGGTTCGCGACAGGAAACACCGACATAAAAACTCTTTCTCTGTGAGCGTTGAGTGTGACGTTATTTGGACGTAGAGATGTCGGACTGAAACAGACTTTGCAAACACGCCAAGGCCTCTCTATTTTGCTCAATATTTTATATATAAAAGAATTCGTGATCATGTCGCTATCCACCAAATCCAACTGTCGGCGGAATATTGGAGATTAGTTGATCCGTTGGCTCACGTAAGCTGGGCGTGCATGCCTACTATTAGTTAGATGTTGGCTTAGCCAACTAGAATAGAGTTACTGTGAATTTATACACATCCAGTTGTCTTTGCATCTACTCGTCAGGTACGTGATACATAACCCATCCAACAGTTCAGCCATTTGGCCATGACACATGACCGGTGCTATGTATACGTGATAGATGTCTCTTTTGACGTTAGAGACATTCAGATTCTGCATTTTATTCGTAAATACCACTTTGACGTATGCTTGCATACACAAATAGTCGACCCTTATCCGATAGTACCTACCAAAGGGAATTTCAAAACTTTTGATTATCCAAGCAAGCCTTTATCATCCATATATACCAGCGCCGCGAGAAATAATGTTGTGTTTGGCCGGATTTGAACCAGCAATCTTAGGTCTCGAGTGGGATTTATGTCCAAGCTATGCAGCCTTGACTTGGCAGACCGGCCAAGACGATGTACCACCGCACCATCTATCCGCAGCGGTGCTTATATTGTCGCCTGCACTTGCGCAACCGAAGCCGTGGCACGCACATAAATCAATTTGTAAAATTTCCTTGCTAAATTTCGGAATTTCACGCCCGTAGATGTGAAGGCCTTCCTTTACATTATCTTGTGAACTTGTCCTGATGCCTCTCACGTCCACTCCAAAGAACTCTACCCTCGATTTATGCGCCACACTTTGCTTCCTCCTGTGGGTATAGATATCGGCGTCGGCGTGTATATGATGACGAGCTGAGGCCAGAGAAAGTCGACGGGAGGTGTAATGATTGAGACAAGGATGTACTAGGTCGAACTTGTAGACTTGATGAGACTTTGGTAGGAGTCGATATTGTTGGGAGTGAAAAATTGACGTGTTTGAGTAATTTGAATTATTGCCTCGTGGGCCATCTTGTTCGGTATTGCGAAAGTTGACTGAACCTGGCTCTGGGAGAATATTTTAGTCCCAGGTTCGTAGAGGATACTGCGTACAGGTGTTTAGTCTTGCCCTCCAATTCCGCAGCTCTTGGCACTGGGTACTCTATGATTATGATGATAGGACTTTTGTCATGATGGAACAATGAAAAAAATCATGTAGATAAGAGCTTAGTCTATTTAAACTGAGCTCTTCACGTCATAGGGCAAGTGTACAAAGGATGAGGTACATACTACACATGAGTTGTGCAATGAGAAGGGAAGAGAATATCTACCTACACGAACATCTTGAGATGCTTAGTTATCGCTTGAACTTAAATCACGCCAACTACCATCCTACTACTGTGACACTTCTCACTAAGTCTTCTATCATAACCTACAGCTTTAAACCATCTCTAGCCGCCTCTAGTTTGTCAGATACCATTGGTTTAATTCAGCCAAACCATTAGATTCTCTCTGTCACATAATGTGCCTTAAAAGTTATCTCCCCTATGTATTCCTCTTCTCTATGATTACGCTCTCCTACCCAAACTGCCGCTCCGATCTGGCAGATACCTACTGACACCCATTGGCTACAGTGATGCGTACTCAGTATCTATCTTGTCATCAACTCAGCATGAGCCCACCATCTCCGCGACTCACCATCGCACATGCGCCCGTGCCACTCTCCATCAGACAGCAGAGACATAATTGCCATACATCTCACAGCTCATAACCACAGTACAATTGTCGTCAACATATATATCCTAGTGCCTTGTCCGAGAACACTGAGAAAAATTCTCAAGTTACAAGACCCCCACAAGATGTGCATCTTTTTGATAACCAAATACCATCGGACCAATAAGTTACCATTAGTTCACCAGCTTGAATCCTTGAAGTCGCCCTCAAGCACGTATGTTTCGAATGGCGAAATGACTCCTTTCTTAGACGAGTATGAGAATGAATACCTCAGCACTACTTCTTTTGACCGTGAATCCTCCAGCCTCGGTTGTCAGAAGATTGCTTATTTTCTAGATGATGATGAGATAAAGTGAGATTTGAAACTGGCACTCTTTAGTTGACGTCACAAGAATATCGTTGACAACTTGGTAACAAAGAATAATCTATCCTTTACTGAAGTCATGCAGCGTCTTCTTATAAGGAAATGGTTAAACTGTCCTTTGCAGCTATTGATGGTGACATGAATTAAGATGATGATTGTGATTGAGATAGATTTCTATATAGTTTATAATACATGATATGCTCAGGTTCATATACCTCGAGCCAAGCAACCAGATTATGATCCTCTAGATCTGGATTCATCAGAATAATTACTTACTCAGTAAAATTCTCCTAGTCTCAGTTGTGTGTTTAGGATCTTGATTAGGTTTCTAGTAACTAGTCAATGATGTTTCTCATATCACTGAGACATAGTCATGCTTGATACAACAGGTACAAACGATGAATCATGTCTGTACATGACGTTGTGATATAGTCATGATCGTCTGAACAATATCAACTCATGAATGAATCATGTCTCTATATGACACTTCTCGACATTGACCATGAATTACCTATGCAATCCTCTCCTCATACAGCTCTGATTACGCACTTTTGGAAGCTCAAAAATGACACCTCAAGTGTAGCGAAACCACCAAAGGTTACCAAATCTAGACACTCTAAACACTCTATACCAAGAGAATGTTCCTTCTGTCCCAAACCATCTCTGGGATGTCGCGTCGCACCCAGGCAACCGAGTTATGACGTGCATACAACAATGTAATTTAGGTATTGTAATGGTTACAGTGTTGTGATAGCAACAGTTGCCATTCAGATTACTAGTTAGTTACTGTGTTATGGCTGTGGACTACTACACCCTTAGTCATAGTATCGATGCTCGTGTACTTAAGGAAGCTCTAGGGCTGGATGTGTCAAGGAGCTTTTTGTCTTGTAAATTACTCATGTTTTAGAATCTAATTATTAATCTAAATATCTCGTCCTCATTATCAGCTTCTGTCTTTGTCCTCGTCTTCATCCTCGTCCTAGTCTCGGTCGTCGTCCGTGACACCTTAATCAAGAAACATCATATGTTCGAGTACAAAGATTGTGTATGGAACTCTTGTGTCAGACTCCGTGAATGGAAAGCCATGATATCCAGAGAACTTAACAATATCCATGAACGAGCAAATGTTGCTGTCGATGGACCTCAAGAAGTTACTCAACATCCCTTCTACTTTGATACCTGTGCAACAGCT